AACGATTTCAGGTAGAAATACTCCAACAAGTTTATCATTAGTTTATAGTTGAACCATGATACATACTTGTCTTGTAGCACTGTGAATAGTTTTGGTATCGTTTTTATGCATTCAAACTCTTCCCTAACTGCTTGAGCTGTTGATTGCTTTCTCATTTTAGGACCAAGTAATGACTTGACATGTGTTTGAAGGTAGTCAATGATTTCAGGTAAATCACTTGATTCGAAGGACTTTTTTGTAATACGAAATGCCTCGTCAAATTCTTCCTGTAGATCATGTAGCTCGCTTGTCAAGTGGAAACTTTTTTCAGAAGAGCCATATCCATCAGCACCTAAAATGAATTTTTGCCGTCACTGGATATTATAGCTACACATGTATAACATCATTTTCTGGCATGCAATGTGAACCATTATATAATATATAGATTTATAAATTGGAAAATGGTTGATGCGCTAATTTTGGTATTTTTACATTTTTATTACGTTGTTATTACAAATAATATGAATTGTTTGATTTTTCATGTATTAGCATACCATGTAGCTTGAAAATTTGATGGAGAAAACTTTGGCGCATTTGGAAAATTAAGGTGCATTTCAAAATTTTAGTCTCTAATTTTTTGTAGGAGCATGCTGCACATGGTTTAAATTTTGTCAAAATTTAACCTTTTAGGGCCAATTTGTGAAATTCTAACACTGCAAATTTCTAGCTATACAGTATACTAGAAGAATGTAAAGCATTAAGGAGCTCCACCTCCTAGCCACGCCTCCTAGTCACTCCCAGACGTACTTGCATAAATACTTCATTTGTAAGGACTACACTCTACTCTTGCTACTACTATCACTTAAGGCTATAAAAACTACTGGAATCTCATGACTCATAAAAATGATTAATAACAACAAAATTACAAAATAAATTTCAAAACAATTATTGGTAAGTTGAAGACTTCCCAATCTACGGTAGCATGAAACTACTGCAGAGAATTTAGTTTTGTGATTTGTGAATGCATAAAAGCATAAAATTTAAATTGCAAATAATGAAATTCATGCTTGGCCCCTATTAAAACTGCAGAAATTTAGTCTGCAAATGAAGCCTTATTTTAAGAATTTGCAAAATTAATTATTCTCCATAAAATACCGTATTGCTTACATGTTGAACTATTTGATTTTCCACTTCCAGGTGACATTGCAGCATCAAAAGGAGAGATATCTCTTCTATCGGCTGATGGTAGTGATAGTAAAGTGTCATTATCATTTGAGTTGCATCCTCCTATAAAAATACTCACTATCATTCCTAATTTGGTAAATATACCTGTTGAACCAGGTGACATTCCTTCGCTATGAATAATATTAATAGGGACGCCCACAGTAGCAGGTAGAGGATGTTCACGAGCTATTTCATCAGCTAATGCTGGATCACCTCCTCCTTCTTTAACAGCTACACACACTCTCCTCCAACAAGGAATACCATGAGATTTGTAATCATAATCTTTCTTTAACCAATACTCTATGACTTTCTGCAGACAAGCAATAGTGTCTCCACGACAATCAGCTTCTATCCTGTTGATTGTGTCTAGTTCAAGACGCCAGGAAATGGCTATCTGCTTCCAGCCAGCTGAAAGTGGCTTGATTCTATTATAAACAGCATAGAAGTCTTTTTTACCTGTAAAAATAATCATTAATGTTAAATATATATCCTCAAACTCACTTAGTTCTTTATTGCAAACGTTTATAAAAAGAGAGGAAGAAGGGCTTGTAGCCATAGCGAGTCGAGAGGAAATTATACTCCCACGCAAAATACCAGCTCCACCTATTCTGGGCGTGGTAATAAAATGGCGGCCATGATGCAGGTAAGAAATACACTGTTTTCTCTCTTAAGGCATAATTTGTCTTTTAGAAAAATTTACCAAGTCTTCTCTCCATTAATAATTTATTTAGGACCTTTAAACCAACCAATGACAGCAACCAACTACCGTCTACTGTACAGCAACTTCACCAGTAGGCAGTAGTACAGACTACTACTCCAGTAAAAGTTATACATATTTACTGTATAGCGCAAAATTTTTGAGGGCTCTAAATTTCGTGGATTTCGTGATTTTTTGAAGAATTGTGAAAATCTAAATTATTAGGGCACAATTAAGATGGCGGGACAATATAAATTCGCGAAAATTAAATCCGTAAAATAGATTTTAAGGCAAATTTGCGAAATTTACAGCCCTCTAAAATTTTGCCCTATACGTATACAGTATTATTATTACTAGGTGAATGTAAACATTGTGGGGGCGAGCATGAGCCATCAATTAACAACTGAAATAATTATGATTGAACTAAATAAAATCAATCCAGCTCTCAGCCTGCATGCATATTCAGACCCCGGCCTCATGGCCGGGGTCTGAACAGAGCAAACACACCAGTCAACACAACCAAAATAACCCAATCAAAGTCACAAGAACGAGTCCTGTCACACTGAGAAAATGTACCAAGTTAAACTTCTAATCTAGCTTCCATCAATTACCATTTGAAATAAGATTGAACTAAATAAAATCAATCCAGCTCTTAGCCTGCATGCATATTCAGAATTTCAGACCCCATCCTCATGGCCCAGCAGGGTCTGAACAGAGCAAACACACCATTTAACACAACTGACCAAAATGACCCAGTAAAAGAGACAAGAATGAACTGTCCTGCCACTCTGAGAAATGCCAGTGCCAAGCTAAACTTCTAATCAAGCTGTTCTCCCAATTTTAATTCTTTCAATGAGAGGACTAATCTAAAGGAGTCTTAGATCAAGCTGCTTTAAGTTTTTCAGCCTTTCAGATGTTTTAGACAGCCCCTCTCTCTTATCTAGCTGTTAGAAACTCAATCTGAGTTTGTCACGTTAAAATTTCCGCCATCTTGTTCTTTTGACCACACCCTCTAA